GAATCATAATGCAGTCACTTTAGGTCTATTAGCTGCGAGTATTTCACCCCAAATGAAGGGCCAATGAACTTGATACAGGGTTTAACATGCGGGCTGCCACTTGCCCTTCAGCGGATGGCAGGAGGCGGTTCTGGAAAGTTTAAAAAACTTTTTTCCTTCTTCTTCAATATAAAGAGGCAATTGCTCTCATCCTGAAATGTTCTGTAAAGTAACCACGCCAGTCAGGGCCGGTGCTGTCTGAGCAGCCCTGGCCTGACGGCCACCCGCCTCCACTAGCACGCTTACCCCGGCTCCACGACCGGGATTTTAAGGAAATGTGCAAAATTTGGAGTGATGGTAATGCCATCATGGCTCAGCAACAGGGACTGTTCCCTCAGCAGCTGAGGGCAAACTGCATTCTTTTTTGGGGGGTGGAAGTCACTTTCATCTTGCGGTGACACTCACTGTTCCTCAGCCGGGCTCAGGACGAACGGGGAGAGGGGTGAGTATTTCGAGTTTGTTTAATGCGAGCTGAGATTTCCTTGGCGGGCGATTCCAGCTCTGGTTTGGCGGGAGCAGAACTCCGCGGCCTGGGGCGTGGGCCTGGGGCTGGGGCACCCTGCTGCCTGGCCGGGCCACTTGGGCAGCAAGAGCTGATGTCGTGAACCCTGCCAGGCCGGCCAGCGCGCAGGGAGCTCTCGAAGGGCAGTACAAACCCACTGTGTACATGTGAGCTCAAGTTTAAATAGACTGTACATATTGAAATGTAAATGAACTGTAAAACAATCTCTATTTTTCTTGACAATTTTATAGCAGTATATATTTGTTAAACGTCCTTGTGTACTCTGCATTAACCATTTTTAATATTTTGTACAGATAAGTTGATTAAATATTTTATTGATAGAACCGCTCCTCTAGGGACCTGTTTTGTGACTTGCCACGAAGCTCTTCTGTGCTATTACTCCCGCCCTCAACCCCAGGAGCAGGAGTCAGCCACTCCAGGGTGGGCTCTCAGGCCCGCGGGGCTTTATGCTGACCCCCCCACCCCCCACTTCGGGGGTGGGGGGTGCGGTGCTAGGGTTAGGCTGTGGCTCCCCGGTCTGTGTGACCCCCCCCCCGGCACTGTGTAGACACCAGGCACAGCCCCTCAACCCCCGCATGACGCCCCTTCTGGACGGGAAGGCAGAAGAATCAGGCTTGGTTCCGGGGAGAAGAGGCCAAAAGGCAGTGGAAAGTATTTTTTCTTTGGAAAATGAGCGTTGTGTCCTGTAATGAGTGAGGATCGTCACTCCAAACCCAGAGGGCGAGAAGGTTTTCTGGCTTCCTGAGCCCTGGGCTGCTGCAGGACCTCTCACTTCAGAAAGCAGGCGTGGCCTGCACGGCTTGTCCCGGGAGCCATGGCTCGGCAGGCGGCTGCAGCAGTGTCCTCTGCAAGGCCACTTGCGTATTTTCGAGAAACAAAGAAAAACCTAGAACGAACTGGATGGGAACTTTTGCGGGGTCCCCTTCCGGACCACGTGCAGACCTATGTCGAGCGCCCCACCCCACCTGTCACATCTTTGCAGCAGCCACAGATGCCCTGCAGCGGCCCTGGCTCACACACGGCGAAGGAGACTGGACTCTGCTCTGGGAAGGCCTCTGGGAGAAGACTAGTGACTGAGCAGGCCGTGTGGGAGGGTGGCAGGGACTTGCTCTCACTGCTGGCTTCCTGCCAGGGTCACGTCCTCTGGGCCATAGACCGGCCAGTGTGACCTGCCTTTGCAGAGAACAAGGGCAGCACAGGCCCACTCTGGCCCACGGGCCTCCTGCAGGTGCTAATGCCAGGCCTGTGGCCAGGTGTGTCTTTCTCAAGTGAAAGGTAGATGAAGAAAGTCTGCTTCCTTTTTGGCCCTTAATTTAATCTTTACTCAGGCAAAGTGTCTCTTAGGAAGAAAAATTGTTCGCCAGTGAACTTGTTTGGTTGGTCTGACAAAATGTGCAAGGTCCATGACCCTGCCGTCGAAGCACGCTTTATTTATAACCCTCTCTGGCCTGTTTTCTCACCTTTCAGTCTACACGTGACATACCTTGGCGGTCTGTGGGAGAGGGTCCCGCATTCAGTAGAGAAGGGGCAGTGACAGGGAGAAAGGCAGGTCAGGGGTGGCATTTGAAACTGCTTCCTACTCCCCAAACCTGAGGAGAGGAAGCGGAAGGGCCCACAATCACTGATGTTAAGGGCTTGACGACTGGCCACCATCCCCGGCCAGCAGCGCCTGGTGTGCCGGTGCCTGCTCATCTCCAGGTAGGCGAGGCAGCCAGGCCTGCGGCTACCACTGCTGCCCCGCTGTGGCCAGTGCTCCCGTGACCCTGGGAACCCTATACCCATCTGCCCGGAAGGAACGTGACCTGGGGAGAAACGGGTGTGTTGCAACGTGTCACCAGCGTGTAGCCACTGACGCGAGGCTGGGGGGTCCGCCTGTGCTAATCACATGCAGGTGCGCAGCCTTCAGCGGGGCGGTGGGAGGAGGCCCAGATGTTCTGCAGAGCCCGTGCGGGTGGATTTGCAGAGGCTGACTCGAGTCCCTCCGTGAGGGAGGGCGGCCCCGCAGGTGCACCCACACCCCCTGGCTGTAATGGACGCCCAGTCACAGGGTCACATTCCCTCCCAGGAAAGAGGAATTTTCCCATAGACTTACCCAGAAGGAAGCCTGTCCCAATGTGGGGAGGTCAGCGTGGGCCCCTTTGCCAGAATGTCTGAGGAATGCAATTAAAAATGAAAACGCTCTGCTATCCCAGGACACGGTCTCCTGTATTGTTGCTGTAATTCCCACTTGGGGTGCTGCACGGGGTTTGTGCTCAGCAAACAATAACCACATATTTGGGAGCTGCTAATACCCAAACTGCAGAGGTTTTCTAATCAGAGAAAGAAGCAACAGTTGCAGCCGGACGGGGCAAGAATGGGCAGGAGCTGGTGCCTGCTTTCTCAGAGTCCCCAGGGTCAGAGGAGCACTATCGAGGTCCTCGAATCTCGCTGACCCTGTGTCACAGCTCTGCTGGGGAAATGCTACCCAGATCAAAGAGCAGGTCCATTTCACACCCCTACCGAGGGAGAGACAGTCCCTGAGGAGTGATTCCTGATAATCTGATGCACCAAGTGAATTGTGTTTCTTGAGAGCTTGCCTATTAGGCATCATGGATACATTTGTTCACAGAGCACACAGACCCAGTAACTCGCCTCTCCTCAAATGCCACTCTCCGGGGGAAGGTGACCCCGAGCATCTTCTTGTTCCTGCAAGGGAAGGCCAGGGACAAAGGTGCCGTCTCACACTATTTAAGAGATGCTGTGCTTCCTGCATCTTTTCTAAATTGACTGTAAGCACCTCAAGGTGATGTTCTCCAGTATCCAGGTGTGTGTGTGAGTGTGTGTGTGTGTCCTGCGTGGCCTGAGGCTGGAAAGTGAGCCAGGTGAGCTTGCCTCCTCCGTCCCCCCATCATGAACCAGAACTGCTAGGACTGCAAGAATCGGGCTCCAGGCGGGAGAAACAGTGCACTGATGCTATCATGGGTGCCCGCTGCACCACAGCGAGAGATGAAAAGAAAATCACGTTCGCGCACTTTGCTTTAGGAGCTCATCTACCATGAGCTGGACGTGTGCGCATGACTTCATCCGACCCCATTAAAAACGAACACAAAACCTCCCAGAACTGAAGCAAGCACATTCACAGATGAGGACACGGGGTGATGGTGGGGAGGGAGGAGAGAGAGTTGAGCCTTTGTAACACCCCAAACCTGACAAATGGCAGATTTGATGCCCGGTCTCCGTGGACTGAAATGACAATAAATCCACTTTCTGGAAAAACAGCAAGAAGAGAGAGGTGCAGAAGGAGAGAGCATGATGCTTGTTTTTTAATAATTATTTTTACAAATTTCAAAATCACCTCCAAATTACAAAAGAGTTCGCAGTACAGCACAAAGAACAGATTTTTCTGTGAACCACTTGGAAGTAAAATGACATGATACCTCAGCCCTCAGACATGTCAGTTTTTCCGCAGTAGGGCGTTCTCCACCTCTCCACCCAGGAATCAGAAAGTCACCACCCCTCTCCTTCTCCCAAACTCACTGTCAGGCCCCGTTCAAGTTGCCCGATTTGTCCTGAAAATGTTAGAAAAAACAAACAGACAAACATGGAATCCAGACCAGGCGCTGTGTCAGCTGTCATGTCTCCGGGGGTCCAATGTACGTCCAAATCTGCACGTACATTCAATTTGAATGTAGCGCGGGATGAAAGAACATCAAGGTCGCCGGCTCTCCAAGGCTTGAGTGGACAAGTGGGTGGAGTGAGGGCCCCTGTCACTGTGGACATGAGGCCCGAGGGTCACGGCTGCACCTGCAGGGTCTCTGCCCTGGCCCATACAGACCACGGCTCTACTGCCGGCTTTTCACTCAGCACCAAAAACCCCAAACCAAGCGCAGTCTCTGCCAAGGATCGCCCGCGCACCCGACTAGTACTCAGGGCAAAATGCTTCTGGAAAATGAATTTTAACTGTTTATCAATTTAAGTTTTATTTTTTCTTCTGATGATGATGTTTAAGAGTAAATATTATTATAGCCAATCTTTATTGAGAAGACACTCTTGGCCAGGTATTCTAATAATGGCTTTAATTCTATCAGTCCAGGGCCTCCCCGGTGGCGCAGCGGTTGAGTGCTGGGTTGCGAAGCTGCCCGCGGCCTCTGCGGCGCCGGTTCGATCCCCGGCTGCTCCCCGGCCACCTGAGGAGGGTCCCACATGGCGCGCAGACCTCTCCTGCCGCCCGCTGCTCCCTCAGCAGTGTGCTTCGGTCCTTCTGCCTGCTCTGCTCCCCGCTCTGGCTCTGGTGAATTCTCTCACCCTCCCGCGCTTCTGACTGTACCCAGTGCATGTATAAACAAAACAAACAAACAAACAAATAAATAAATAAATTAAATGCCTCTATTAAAAAAAAAAATAAATAAAAAAAAATAAAAAAAAAATAAAAAAAAAAAAATAAAAAAAAAATAATTCTATCAGTCCATTTAATCCTTCCAGCAACGTGAGGGGCGCTTTACTGCTAGTCCAATCTTATCGACTAGGACACGGAGGCATGGAGAGGAAGGCACCTAAAATCGCCGATGGTGAGGGCTCCAGCAGTCAACATACTTGATCACTTCACACATGCGCGTGGAAACATTGACTCTTTTCATTTCTAATGACATAAAATGAACTTCAGTGTGATGAAATCGGATTCTTTCTTCCCAAAAAGCACCGAGAAAGTGGCTTTTCAATCTAAGAGGGAGACTTGCATCCGAGTGAACTCAGAATTGCTCAGAGAGCCTTCTTCCCCCAACACCCAGAGATCAGGCTGGGCGAGGGCAGAAGTGCTGCTAAAACATTTATTTTGAAAATGCACTTAATGCTTAGATAATAAACAGGAAATTAGGGACAGTATATATAATCATTTTACTTTTCATCATTTTTTGAGGCTCTGAAAAACCAACATAGTACAATGTTACAACTGCAGACTCAAAAAATGGAAAATGGAAAATAATATTTAAAGAAAAACTGGGGTGCTTGCTCTTTGCTCCAGTAGGTGGAACTACTGCCGTGCTGCCGGCCGGTGTCTCGAGCATCTCCCCAGTGCGGCTTCAGAGCCACAGGCCCTCGTACGAACAGCAGGTTTCTAGATGCAGCCCTGGCACTGGCTGAGCATCTGCGTCCCCTGCCCGAGCTGGGCCTGCTCCTCGCTGCAGCACTCTCGTCGGACTCGCTCTGGGGCTGACACATCTCAAAGCTGAGTCCTTCCTCAGGGGCTTTGGGTTTTGAGAGGAAGGACAGGGTGCCCTTGTTGTCAGGGAACAATAAGACCTTGAGGGGGTTCTAGGAGAAGGGAGGATGCATCTGGGCCAAGGCTGAGTCTGCAGCTAGGGAGAGGCACAGGCAGGTGCCAGGGCTGAGCCCACGGCAGCAGTATTATTAGTGGCTCCAGAGCACAGCAAGCGCTTCCTGTGGCCTTCGAGGTGTCCAGAGAGGACGAATGCATATAATCGAATGGTTTGCTTAGTTAGCTAATAAAACAATTTCTTTCCAACTAACAAAGTTTATCAGAAATGGAGAGCTCATTTGTGGTAATTCTCTGTTCAGCAGTTAAAGATGCCCTTTCAAAACTGACTAGGAGACTTTCAGAAGAGAATCATAACATCGCTAAGAACTCTGTCCTCGAAGCCCAGCACAGCTCCTGGCTCATGGATGGTCTGCAGTGGAGTTTTCCTGAAAAAGTCACAGAAGGGCAGCTGCATGTGGCAGGTACAGGTTTGATGTGGGGCAGCCCAGTGCCTCCCCATCCTGGGCTGGAGAGGAGCCTGTGGGGAGTTCATCACTCACACTCATGGGTTGCAGCTCAGTCTCAGGGTGGCAGGGGTAGGCAGGATCCTCCAACAACTCCTGTCTGCTTAGTTGACCAGAGTAACATCTGGCAAGCCTTACCCAGTCTCCTGCAGGTAGATCAGGGAGTCGCACACCCCAGGGAGGAGTCTCAGAGATGGAGACAGGCAGTGCCTCCCCTGACGTCGTCTCTGCCAGGGCCTGCGGCACGGGTGGCCAGAGGAAAGGCTGACATGCAGCAAGGCACAGCGGGTGGGCCTGCAGGCTGTCTCGGTGCCCCGTCTGGCACTGATGATCTCAGCCAGGACCTGCGCAGAGTCAGCCTGGTCTCCCCTTCAGCTTGTCCCAAGGGAGAGCTGAGTCCACTGCCAAGATCCACAGCTCATCACCTCCTGCCGCTGGAACGCGAGCGTGTCCTTCTCCTGGTTTCATGCTCTTGGCCACGGACTTAAAACCCACCAATCGAGCTCCCACATCTTCCAGTGGGTCTTTCCTCATTTCCTCTAGGAGATCCTAGTCTATAATGTAACTCAACTACATTAGTTACATTTTGCCTGCAAGGATCCTGCCGACCAAGACGGACAGTTGGGCCCCATTGGGCATCTTGTGCAAACGGAAGAGACCTTGTTTAGATCACTGTGTTCCCTGAGTCTTGAAAATGTGTCATTGAACCTGTGGAGTATTTCATCGAGGGGTTAACTTTAGCCTGAAGCATATGGGAGGCCTCCGAGCCAGTAGCTTTTTTTTTAGAGGCATGATCGACACAAATCATACAAGTTTCAGAAGAGCTGGTAGTTTTTGAGCCAAGAGGTTCTTACTGTTCTTTTCTCTTCTCAAATCAAATATCAAAGTTAAACGATTACCTACTAAATATGCTACTTACTACTAAGAGGCAGGCGCTACCTCTGTATTACCTGTGTTCGCTTCACTGTGTCAATGTTTATATTTTGGACAGGTCCTCCTTCAGCCAGTCACCTGTCATATCAGCCATTTCCTGGGAATTATAGAGGACAAAAGAATGGGGTATTTTTTTCTCACAGAGTCGAATATCTCCTTCAGGAAAATCTTTCTTTATGTCTTCATAGAACTGGAGGGGACACCAAGGATCTATAGTTCCATAGTAAAATGTAAGCTGAAAGACAAAGACAGCCTTTTACTACACAACACTTGCCCCTCCCAACACCAGCAATCTGCAATGCTTTGAAAACAGCCCCTGCTCGAGGCTCCCAGCTGGTCCCAAGGCTCCCTATAGGGCGCAGCTTATGGCGGTGAATGAAGGGCACCCGAGGGAAGGAGATCCACACAGGAGGGCCTGAGTGAAGAGCCCCCGGACTCGCTGAAAAGACCCATTGGCAGAGCTGTGCGTGTCGAGGCTGGGGTGGACACTGAGGAGATGGTGGGTGAGGACGAGGCAGTTACTGAGACATAGTCACTAGTGCATCACAGTGACCATAGTCACTGAGACCATCAGTGCACGTGTCTGTGGCCACGTGGCAGGCATGACAGGAAAACGCTGGCTGAATACACATAAAGATGACCAGATAGTCCAGGATTCCAAAGGGAGCACATGAAATGTGAGCAGAGCCCTACGTGTCTAGGACATTTCTAAGACCCTCCCTGGACGCTGACCTGCACCTGCCCACCACATATGCACATGCACACATGTACACACATGCACACACACAACGTACACCCATACCTGTGCACATGTGGACACACGTGTATGTAAACATCATATTTGCATGCATGTTTATGCATATGTACACCCATTTATAAACACATGTGTATCACATATAAACACATCTATGTCTAGGTCTAGGCTGCTGTTCTTCACTGAGAAACAGCCCTAGAACTATGTTCTAGTCTTTCTGCATTTCTAGAGAAATGAAATTTTATTCAGAAAAGGCTTTGTATATAAAATAAGATTAAGTTTAAGAACCTGAGACATTTTTCACTTAATTTAGTCTCCCCTCCTTCTGTTTTTGCTCACTACAATCATTTCTGGACACTCCACAGCCCTTGATTCATTTTGCATGGCCCTGGAAGTGTGAGGTTCTAGTTGCTTCCTGGGGAACAGGAGAGCCTGGCAGATGCTGGTTCTTTCCGCCTGGTGTCAGTCTCCCTGTAGCTTCACAATCTGTCCCCGGCGCGAGACCTCTCAGCCAGTCGCAAGAAGATCAGTTTGCCAGGATCCTCAGCAGCCGCCCGCTAGAGTTGGGAGTATGAGCTGTCTGCAGGCGTTATCTACCAACAGGCTAGTGGCCTTACTTGTCTCCCACCACTCCCCCCTCTACCAGCGACACTCCTGATAATTACATGTGGGAAATAGCTGCTGGACTGTCACTTGCACCAGGTGCAGTGGTTCTGCAGAGCAAGAAGCCTGTGGTGTCTGTTAGGGCTGTGCCCGTGTCCTGGAGGTGTTGGAATAAGAAAGAGACCCTGGGAGCCCTCATGGCAGCACAAGCTCTGGTGGTGAAGACATGTAAGACCTTCATGCACCTGGGTCCGTGGCAGAATTGCCAGGTGGGGAAGGCCTGCCCCGATGAAGCCAGCCTCTAACACGACAACATGGCTGCAGGCACCTGCTGCTGCTTCCTGCCTAACATAGCAGGGACTGTTTCTGGGGAGAGCTTAGCATTTTCTTTTCAGTGAGGCAGTTGCAACTTGAAATGTGCAGTGAGAAGTACAGCTTGATGCGCGTCAGCACTGGGGAGACGCCCCCCTGCCCTGCTGATGCATGAAGGCATCAGTCACTTGAGCAGGAATCATTAAAGGTGGGTCACAGGGACCAGACACCTACCTTCGTCTATCAAGGCAGGTGGTGCCTGAGCAGTGACAGGGCACACGATGCCCAGGCCTAGGAGTGCAACACAGCGTGACCCTGGGGCTCAAGCTGGGGAGCAGCGAGCTTTTGAGACTGCCCGCGTGCTCAGCGCACGGCATTTCTTGAGCTGCCGCGTCCAGCTGCCGTTTAAAGTGGGCTGTACTGGTTAAATCTCTAAGTGATGGGGGAAAGGCCTTTTGTTTTGGACTTATTTTTAAAATTTCTTCAGGCTACAATCATGGAAGGGCTGTCTATGAAAATCTTGGCTCACAAGTAACACGTGGTTATTCTAAATGCCTTTACATACACTGGCTCAAGATACATCCAGTTCCCTACAGATTATAAATCACAGGCAATAGATCCAAACAGAGGACTCTGCACCTGTAACCCTAAGCAGGAAACTGAAAAAGTATGGGGTGTGTGGAGGTGGTGGTGGGGGGTGGGGGGGACAGGTGAAGCAGGAGGAAAGAAATAACTGGACACCGAACCACAGTGGTCTGGAGCACACACTGTCATTATATCAACACGTAAACACAAACAGTGAATGAAAGGGAACTGGTGAAAACCAAGAATAATGTGCGAAGCGCGGTGCTGAGTCCTTACAGCAACATGAGCGGAAGGCGATTTATCCTAATTTTACAGAAAAGGAAACTGAGACTTAGATTCATTTGCTTAAGTTCAAGCAATTAGTGTGTTGTAAAGCGTGGTTACAGATCCAGAGCAACATTCCTAATCGGTACCTTTTACTATTATTTATAATTAACAGTGAACTGACTCATGAAATTAAAACACAAGGCCTGAAGCCTGGAAGGATTTAAATGAAGACTGACAGCTGAGCGAGACAATCAACCACAGGCCAAATCTAACTGCCTTTACTTACAGCCTTTCTCAGAGTTGATGGGGTTCCTCTGGGGGTGGGGCTATGGGTTCGAGGGGCTTGATAATTGCTGTGAAAGTACTGGAATTTTTAACTAAGCATCTCAGGCTATCAGCAGGATGTTTAAATTCGAATGTTTATAAGAAAATGAATTATTTCCTGTAGTTTATTTCTCCTTGGCACTTGCTTTGATACGCGTGAGAGCTGATAAGAAGTACGCATGCTTGAGATGGAGATTATTCTGCATTTTCGAACTGTTGTCACGTTCAGTGATCCATTTATTCTACTAAACACAAAATTTAATTTTCTTCTGTCTGTATTTTGGTTTCCCGGGACTGTGCTTTAGTTTCGCCCTGTGTGTATTTTTGCGGCAAGGTGGAACACGGCTACCAGTCTCTGCGTACTTGACATAGGTCCCTTTTGCTCTTCAGCGCGCCCCCCAGGAACATGGCCCGGGACAGGTCCCTGCTGCGGTGCGCTGCCACACATGAGACACAGCTGTCTTTTGCCAGTGTTTTTCTTTTTTTTTCCTTTTCTTTCACTTTTTGCTGCGGAGACTGGCAGATTCACAACAGTCCCCGCAAAAATTACTTTAAATCTCTTTCCCATCTGGCACTGGCTAAATGGTTGAAATTCAAAAGAAAGATAGTTCTACCCAGGAGAAGCTCCCAGACTGAGGAACACACGGGCATGTAGAGACTGGCCCTGAGTCATAGCAGACAGAGAGTTGTGCGGGGGCAGCACCGCAGAACCCGCAGTTTGAATTGCTTCTCCCTATTCAACAGTCCAGCAGGACTGTAGGCATTAAAGGACTTGTGGGCCTACTAAAGTTTTTCATAGTTTTAGAATTTTATTAATTTATTATTTTTCTTTTGTTACCTTATGGCTAAGTGAATTTTAGAAGCTCCTTAGACTCTAATTCAACCTGAAGCCAAGTTTGGTCAGCCAGTAGTATCCAAATTGAATTTTATTCCTTCAGGTGGTCTTGGGGAGTCTATTCCATGCTATAGGGTTGACCTGAGCAGAATGGGAAATGGTGTTTCTGGGGCCATGGTGTATAAGGTGAAAGCTGTCCCCATAAAGCTCTTATACTCCGCTGTGGTAAAATAATCTGTGACAATTAGTTAGAGCGAGCCAGGTGCGGTGGCTGGGGCGGTGAGAGATTGAGCCTGAGCCACCTGGGCTGATCTCGGCTCTCCCACCTCGAGTGTCGTTACCTTGGAGAGGATGCCTGAGCCTCTCTGCGCCTGTTCCCTTCTCTGCAGAGTGGGCACGGGAACAGCCACCTTCTGCGCCGATGCCGAGGGTGCGGAAACAAACACATCCAGTATTTGACAGAGAGAAGACACTCTTCAAGGGTGGTTGCCATGACCAGGGGGACGCTGATGAGGACAAAGCGATCCCAGAGTCTAGTCTAGGCAGTGGTGGAGGCAAAATCTAGATTCGGCCCCACAGTGAAGCTGTGCCCAGGCCAGAGGAAGAAATTATGACCTAAATTATTTTTTGAGAAAATATATTTTCTTCTGATAGCTGCTTTTGCTATGTCTGGCTTGGAAAACATATAAGTATTAAACATTTTGTTAAGCCTAAAGCAGAGTATTTTATTCCATATATTCTTTATTCCTCTGAAATTACCATGCAGAAAGCCATGGGATGGGAGAAGCCATTGGGAAGTGCATGGTCCTCAAGCCAGCACAGACCAGTTTCCCGGGTGCAGGGCCACCTGCTCTTACGAACCAGCCCTGGAGTTTCCTCTGCACTGTCCCACGTGGTTTTCTGGTTGAGCTGCTCCAAAATGGAAGCAGGCGCCAGTGTTCTGGGACACATTTCCCTTTCTGGTTCTGCTCAATGTGAGCCCCCGGGCTCTGGCAGCAGCAACTCCACAGAGCCCCTGGGCCCTGCGAAGCTGCCTTGGTGAGCATGTCACGAGGAGCGGTAGCACTTGGGTGCCAGATGACCAGGCTTCCGGCTCGGGTTATGCGTTGATTTCTTGAGGGTGTCCTCCTCTAGCGTATCAGTATTTCCTCAGTCACTGGGAGTTGCTCAGGGTGAAGTTGCCAGGAAAAGGCCACCCTGACCACAACAGCATCGCCCCCTTAACAGGCCGGCTCCCTCCGAACCCTGGCAGCAGTTCAAGCCACTGCCTGGCTGTTGCTCTGGGGCGCAGGGTCCTCAGTACTCCAGGCCTGGGGTGGGTTCCTGACTGCTCTGTGGCCGTTTTGGGCTTCCTTTTCTGTCATCTTTCCGTATCAGTGTCCCTGCTCGAGGGAGGTTGGAGGGCTGCTCCTCCCGCCACTCCTCACGTGGTGGGGCGAGCTGAAATGGCCAAAAAAAAAAAAAAAAAAAAGACAGGCAGGAAAGCGTGCCCGGGCTGGCGCATATATAGACAACCAAAACATACACATACGAAAATTAAATTTTGTGTTTAGTAGAATAAATGCATCACAGCTCCCTGCTCGGCAAGGAGAGGGTCGGCGTGCAGGGAGAGGGGCGATGCCGATGCCCGGGGAGGAGGCACGCCTTCTCTGTCCTACTTTGCGAATTCAAGAAAAATGTTATGGCTCCTGATTGCTCCTCTTTTTTTTTTGTTCTCTGAAATAACTCCCACCTGATCAAAGCAGCAAAAGGTCCGATGGAAAGTGGCCAGTTGACCCCGTGGTCGAATGAGTCCCCCACAGTGAGGTCTCCCTCTTAGCTAGATTTCCCTGTCCTGCCCCCATGTCCTGTTTCACCCCCTTAGTAGAGCTTTCCCAGGCTCAGGGCACGCACCGTTAAGCCCGCCAATGCACAGCCATTACTTTTCTTAATAAAATGAAAATTAAAATCCCCAAAGTAACAAAAGTGACAAAGCATGAAGGTGAAAACACAACACGACCTCCACATCCTGCTCGCCTCGGAGGCATCTAGGGGAAGGGAGGGGCCCTGTGGCAGATGGGAAGGGAGGCTCCCAGTGGCCCCCAAGCTTGCCAAGGTGGCTCTCTCCTTCTGCAGGACTCATCCCAACTGGAAGTCACTGGCCACCTGCCGATTAGCTTCGTCATCCTCACCTGGAGATGCTGACCCGAGGGGATGATTTTCCTGTAGTGAGCAACCAATGCTTCCTTCTGCATTTGGGTTTCTCCCTTGTTAGATGCCTCAGGAAACTGGCAGATGGGCTAGGAGGGTCTTGATTCATTTACACAGAGAAGAAACCCAAGTCTAGCTCGTCAGAAAACTGCACTCGGGTGCTGGGCCCAAGTCTGGGGAGGATCAGGTGTGACTGTGTCCTGTACTTACACAATACCCCTGTTAGGCGAATAATCTTATTAAATACTAAGAGGCACATATAGAATATAACTAACCTAATAATAAACAACATTTATTGAATGCTAACTTTATGTTACGTACTACTCTTGCAAGACCTTGATATGAATCATAGCATTGTATTTTTGGAACAACTGGCAGAGAATAAATACTATTACTAAAGCATCGTATTGATGGAAGGAGACACAGTGAGGTCAAGGCACTTAATCAAGGTCATACAAGCAAGAAACAGCAGAACTAACATCTGAAGCTCAAGTTGTGACTCTGAAGACTGTGTTTCCCAACACACCTCTCTCCTTTCAATCACATTCCACTAGAGGACTCAAGGGTATGCTAACACAGTGCCTAAAAGGAAGCTCTCAAGGTCAGAATGATTGAGATAAAAACAAACCTATCTATTCCGGGATGGCTATGACATTCTGAATGGGCTTCACATTAAACAGGCAGAACTAACACAATCGGTTTCAGATCGAGCTGGGCGGAAAGGCAGCCCTGGGTCGCTGGTCCAGGGAGCGCTCCTATGCTCCGCCGAGCAGGACATGTGCATGTCTGAAGGATTTGCATGCCCGAATCTGCAAACAACTGCACATGGTTTGTTCCCAAAGGCAACATGCACTCGGGGCTCCGGCGGGCAAAGCAGGATGGGGACAGAGGCAGAGTGGGGGGCTCCTGCTCCTGAGCACCCTTTGCCCTTCTCCCAGAACACACAGTCACCAGAGCCAGCCCTCTGGGTGCAGGGGCAGCCCCTCCACTGCTGCCCACCTTCCTCAGCAAGCCACGCCCCTCGTGATCTCGCTGGGAACAGTTTCAGACTCTCCACTGATATCAGTGTTCAGGTTTCTCTGGCAATAGCACACACCAGCTGTTTCCAAGCACCTAGGCCAAAGATGGTCACGGCAGTTTAGAATTTCCCTCCTAAGTGAGCTTTAAATGAAAACTTTAAGTTTCTAAACCAAATACAAATTCATTTTTCTATGAATGAAACACCCCCCCCACCCCCGTCTAGTTCAGAACTGACAGAACAAGGGGATCTGACCTTCTATTTGCCTCAGACACCCGGTGCCTCACAAAGCAGAGCACACTCCAGAGGGCCCCAGGGGATCGGGCTAGCAAAGTGGACAGCTGACGCGCTTACTGTGGTTTATGCCAACCTCATTTCATTCCCGTCCTCCCTACCCACTCCTGTTTAACTCGGCAGCTCTCGTCTTCCTCCAGCCTTTAAGCTCTACTTCCCGAGGACTGAACTTCAGATGCCTTCTCTCCATTGACTACGTTCTTCCTTCGGTTATCATTCCCCATGCTCACAGCTGTAACCACATCCTTGTCACTCCCAAACCAAAATTCAGCCTTGACTACTCTTCTGAGCTTCCTACCTACACACCCCTGTTGGACTGGGGGGGGGGGACCCACAGGTATCACAAACGCAATTCCAAAGTGAACGACCTTTCTTAACCACCTCCCTCAGCGTGCTGATGCTGCTTCCCACCCCATAGGCCCTATTTTATTACCAAATTCAAATACAGAAAAATCACCTCAGGCTCCTTCACCTCCACAGCCTCACGTCCTATTAGTACTATGTGCCTTTGATTCTACTTCCTAAATTTTCCCAAATTCTACCCCCCTTCCACCCCAATCCTACTGCCTTAGTTCTCATAAAGGTCTTCCAAATAGATTCCTCACCTCAAATTCTATTTTCCTCAAATATTCTGCCCCATGTTTTCCCCGAACTAATCTCTCTCATTTGTTGACCAGCGCATTGAGTGCTACCGTTAAAACCAGCCTTTGCTGGAAAAGCTTATGACTGAACTGTGTGTTAACATGAACCTCGAGACGCCTGCCATCTGACGCTGCGCCTCCACGTTGCTCCCTAGAAGCGCCATCTACCCACAGTCCCCGACACAGCTCCCAAGGCGGCCTTCCTCCGGGAATGACAGCACTTGCACATGGTTTGACTCAGGAAGGAGAAAGTTAGCACCTTCCTTTGACCTCTTTTCGAGCATAACATACAAACAGAATCCAGAATCCAATATTCACCCACAATGAGGACTATTTTACAGTCGCTGGCTCCCACAGGTGGTAAAATGGGCTTTGACACATGACGGGTCTGGTCATTCAGCAAGTGTGAATTTTGGAAGTGAGCAACTACGGTCTGATTACTGACTAGGAGTTGAGCTGCTTTTTATGAACCTCTTGTCTTGAGAAGTTAAATGAACTTTTGAAGCAAATTCATTTATAATTTAATTGGAAAATAAAATACTGCTTTTCTTGTATTTTCACATCCCTCAGTGATTGGAAACAGTTGGAAGCCCTGGAGACAAGGCCTTTCTGAGGCTCCAGCCTTCCTCACTCAGCTTGTGAGGGCTTCCAAATTTTAATCTTCAGCCAGTAGCTATTTTAGAAATATGATGACCACTATGGCCATAGACAAGCACAGACTAGCATTTTCCAGAGTCCTCTCTGGGTGAAGCCACTATGATCAATACTCTGAAAAAAATTTTTTAAGGAAAAAAAAATATATATTTGCTTTAAGACAGTCATACTGAAAGTCAAAGCTTATGAATCTAGATTATACAGTCCAACATATAAAGGCTTACATGTAATAAAAAATTTCTAGTACCACATGAAAAGATTATAAAAGAATGGATAAAACTACTTTTGATAATATTTTATTATCAAATATTTTATTATCCCAATATATCAAAAATACTATCATTTCAACACATGAGTAATACAAAAACATAAATGAAATGTTTATTCTTTTTCAGTGAGAACTGTACTGAATTTCCAAAATCCAATCTGGCACATCCCCATTCAGACTAGCCACCAAAAGCCGCATGTGGTGAGTGGACAGCTCGGTAGATGGTGCATGCTTCCTGCCCAGGAAGCACAGGCCGTGGCACCAGGGAGTGCCAAGGCACCGAGCTGTAATGAATATGCTCTGAACCACGGTCCCCCCAGTTTCAGAGAACGGTGTTTCCAAGTGTGTTTGTGCAAAAGGTTAGCATTTGCAGCAGCAACTCACAGATGCTAAATATTCAATCTTTGTCTTTTGCACCTGCTTATATAGAAAACTGGTTCAGAGCTGGACATTCCTGATCTAATACATTGGAGAACAAGAAAGAGGCTGATGGAGTCACCAGGTCACAGAAACATGACTTCTTTTGCAGTGTTTTATTCACATTTTAACTTACTTATCCCAGAAAGTGAAGAACAGAATACTATGAAAAGGAACAAAGAACAAAAAAATGTTCTTGGAAATTAACAACTTGAAAGCCAAAATAAAAATTGGATAAAAGGAAGTGCTGGAAGAGAGAAATTGAAGAAATGTCCTAGAAATTAGTACAAAGAGGAAAAAGAGAAATGCTATAAGAAGGAAAATATGACTTAGAGGATCAATCTAAGACTAAGAGGATCAATCAAGCAGAGGTCCATCCTCCGGGAGGTCCAGACAGAGAGGACAGAAGAGAGGGAAAGAGTCATCAAAAAATAACACAAGGAAATTTCCAATAATATGAATGTTCCAATTTACATTAAATATTATTTCCAATAATATAAATATTATGGAGAGTCTTATTTGTACAAGACTCCAGAGAAACTGAAGTGCCTTGTTTGACAAAATAGGTAAGAATTGATTATAAAAATAAATCCAGCAAAACAGGTGGTAAAATGTATTTCAGTAGCTGTGGAATCAGCTTCACTAACTTTCTGTGCCACCATCAAGGACTACAATAATTTCAACTATAAATAAAACTATCAGAAATCTACAAACCCCTGAGGTCTAACAGATTCCAACTAGCTCTAGTCTTTCATTCTTCGCAAATATTTCAGCCCACCTACTTACATCCTTGAAGTACTAAGGTGCTTACCTTAGGTAAATGTTTCTTTATGGTTTCGTTATCTCGCTCCACCACCTCCATCATTTCTTGGCCCCCAAGGTAGGCAGCATTAGCTATGTTTAAAAAAAGAATTCAGAGACTTAGAATATACAGAGCAAATACACGTCAAATTAACTGTAGTAAATTCTGGCACATGAGTTGGGCAACACGCGTCTCTTGAAATAAGAGCATGTCCTGGTGGACCCTCCTCTCAACTTCACCTGCCTTTCTCAATAAATACAACCTTCAGTGGCATGTCAGATACCACAGCAGAAGATGTGTGTGTAAAGGTGCCAGATCAAAGATCTTATGATTTAAAAATTAGAAGCACTAATTGTTACAGATAAACCATGCAGACTGAGGAACCACATGCCATTACTAAAGGGAAACTGTCCTGGCAATTAAAAAAAAAAAAAGTAAAAAGAATTTTAACTTTAAGTTAGGTTTTAGAGATCTCTAATTGTTTTTTATTTGGGTTATTAGTCCTATCACACAGACTGCAAAATGAGCAAAGGGACCCTCACTTTCAAGATGTTAACTACTTGGCAAAGAGAGAGCAAGACATAGACTTATGTGGCTTTCCTGTTCCAGCAAGAAAATTTCTATTTTAATACTCTGTGTCTTGAATTCCATTTTGATTGGAATTACTACTATTCCTTTATTTTCTATTTTGTCAGCATCCATCTGGTATATTTATTGTTTCCTTTATTTTCATTTTTTTTTTGGTTATTTCATTTTAGATAAATCCCTTGAAATCATAAGTGGGCATCTTAAAAACGCCGTTTGAAAATCTCTCTCTTGAATAAAGGAACTTAACATACTCATACATATTGATAAGATATTTGGTCTGACTCCAGTTTCTTGTTTTGTATATACTTTGCTCTCTGGTTGCGTATGACTCTTCTTTCCACCCCTTTAGTGTGAATGATTTTACCCCATATCGCTTAAAAATTTCTTTTCACTTATAACTTTAAAGGCGTATGTCACATTTTTATTCATTCATTGGCTAGCTGTAGTTAAAATGTAAAACTTCTATTTCTTCTATTGCTGTCTGGAACTAATCAGTGTCTGTGGCTTCTCCATCCAAACAGGGTGGGCTCCCTGAACATGCTCACACTTTCTCCTGCCTTCAGCCTGAGGTTAATGGTTTGGGTTCTGGTTTCTTGGACACAGGTTTTTATAACTATATTCTATATATTCAAGAAGAAATATTGAGCATGTTAAATAGAATCAATCACAGAAGATAGATGAAAAATACACTGGATAAGACTAAATAACAGAGTAGACATCATGGAAGGAAAATTAGTGAACTAAAGACAGTAATAGAAACTGTCCAAAAGGAAACACAGGGAAAAAGAAAATAGGGGGAAAGAGGGAGAATAGAAAGCCAGTGAGGTGGCGCAGCGATTGAGTGCTGGGCTGCAAGGCTACCCATAGCCTCTGCAGCGCCAGTTCGATTCCCGGCCCCCAGCCAGGGTCCCACATGGCGTGCAGACCTCTCCTGCCACGCCCGCTGCTCCCCTCAGCAGTGTACTTTGTCAGTCTGCCTGTTCTGTTCCCTGCTCTGGCTCTGGTGAATTCTCTCACCCTCCTGCACTTCTGACTGTACACAATGCTTGTATAAATAAATAAACAAACAAACAAATAAATAAATAAAAAAAAGCCAGTGAACTGTGAGTGAATATATAAGTGGGCTCATACACTGTGTAGTTGGAGTCTTTGAAGGAGGGAGCCATAGAAAAATTATTTGAAGAAAGAACAGCTGAAATTTCTAATGTCTCTAAAAACCCATAAACCAATAGATTCAAAAAGGTCAAAGTAGATATTAAAACTATACTGAGGTATATAATAAAGCTGCTTAAAATTAATGATAAAGAGAAAATCTTAAAAGCAGATAAAGGGTACATTATATAGAGCAGAAACAAGATTAAACATGATGGCCGATTTCTTGTTGAAATAATATAACTAGGAGATAGTGGAGCAACGACTTTGAAGGAGAACTGTGAATATGATGACACAGAGGGGAGATGACTTTAGGGAGATGACCTTGGTGGGCCTAGCCTAATCACGTGAGCCCTTCAAAGTCTGAGTTTTCTCTGGCTGATGGAAGAAGAGGAAGCCAGAGATTCAAAGCACTAATGCAGCTCCTGTGGAAAGGACTTGAGAGCAGCTACAAGGGGCTGAGAGGGACCAATGGTTGATAGGTAGCAACAAAATGGGGACCTGCGTCATACAGCCACATAAACTTAGTCATAAAGCCTAAGGATTGGCAACAACCCGCATGAGCTCAGAAGTCGATTTCTGGATATTGTAGGGGTGTAAGAGAGGCTGCTGAGAGCAGGCAAAGATGATTTTTGAGCTGGGTGGCAGTTGATATGGGTGTTTGCCTTGTGACAATTCAGCAAGGTAAACTTTTGTGTGTGTTTTCTTCTTTTAATATTTATATATATATTTTACATCATTGTTCATTTTTTAAAAAGATTTATTTATTTATGCATACAAGAATTGGGATGCAGGCCAGAGGTGTGGAGGGTGAGAGGATTCACCAGAGGCAGAGTGGGGAACAGAACAGGCAGACTGACTGAAATATACTGCTGAGGGGAGCAATGGACAAGACAGGAGAGTGCTGCGTCGTGTGGGTAGCTGCCTGGCCAGGGATCAAAGTCGTGCTGCAGAGGCTGTGGATAGCTTCATAGGTTGTATCTTAACCGCCTGCGCCACCAGGGAGGCCCACACTGTTCATTTTTGTACACTGTATGCTTTCTCCTCCCAGGTGTAGTCCCCATGAAATTCCCACCACCAGTTCACCCGTGCACTGTCACCACAGTCCTTTGTGCTTTTCCCTCCCCTGTTTTGATCCCTCTGCCTCCTGCTCCTTTGCAGAATGTCTCTGATTTATAGTTGTTTGCTAATTTTGTTTTTTCTTTATTATTATTGTTATTTTTTTCCTGATCCCTTACTTGGTTCCCCTAGATTCCTATAAACCCAGATATATATGGACAACTTTTTTGGTACTATTATTATTATACTATCATTCATAAATTAGAAAAAATGCAAAATTCAAATTACTTGTAAGGAATTTTACATTTCTAAAAGTAAATTTTTATCAGGGAGTGTATCTAAGTCCACCTACACTCCTCATTTTTTTTGTTCTTGTAATTTCCCATCTAAGTTTACTTGTATAATACCAGTTTCCTTTCCAGTAATTGCTTGAAGGAAGCCATCTTTTTCATTCCTCAGAAATGTTCACAATACAACACAGTGGTCAGAAATAATAACACAAAATAGAAGTGTAATTTCCTAAGGAGAAAACACATTTCCTTGGCAAAGACTGTCAACATTCCTGGAAACCAGAATTCAGAGTTTCAAGCACCATAGTGAAGGAAATATCTAGTAGCAGGAGTAATGGAAACAAAAACATTAAGAAAAGAGAATGATTTAGAAGAATGTCAATTATTTACTTTTGTTTCTTTATAAACCTAAATACAGGTATTAAAAAAACTCACCGAGGAGTCTCATATTCTATTTTATCTGATACCATCAACTTCTGCAATCTGCTTAATATTCAAATGTTACTGTAGGACTTCAAGTAGCTCAAGATTTGAAATAGCTGAGTGAGGGAAGATCAGCTGGAAGATCAAATGGCTATTCAATTCAAAGGTCAAATGATGTGGCTGCCTTCTGCAAGCACAATCTGCAACAGAGGGCTGCCCTGCTCAGCCTCCTTGCCGGGAGCAAGGCCCTTTTGTCTGTCTGAAAAATCCCAACTCATCCTTAAGCCCCATTTGTTTATCTTCTCTTCCCTTACTTCTTTAGGTAAAACTGATCTCCCTTTTCTTGGTACCAATCACGGCCCATATGCTAACTTTATTGTGATACATTAAAATTCTTCAACTTTGCCTCTCCTGACACACTGGAAGTAACATAAGGGCAGGGGCTATATTTCATTTATTATTCTCTCTGCTTACCTGAGTGCTTGGTCCAGCAGGGATCAGTCACTAAGGATGTTAATGACATAAAGGGGGGAGGTAGTCTGGTTGATAGGTCTTTTTTTTTTTTTTTTTGACGGGGGGTGGGGGAGAAATTGGGAGGAAAAATCTTGTGACTCTTTTAAGTGGTGGAGGAGCTGATATCAACAATGGAGGCCAGAACCGAAAATGGGATGCCTAGCTGGCAGGTACTGGTGTAAAATTGGGACAAGAGGGCAAGTGTAAGAGACGGGCACCAAAGGAGGCCACCTAAAGTACTGGTCCCAGTAGTGAAGCAAACCAAAATTAATGATAAAATAGGCTATTTGGAAGGGCAATAGTAACATCTGGGGTGGGAAGCCAAGTTGTCCTGTGTTGGTGGCCTGCGGTCTAGAGCCAGCGAAGGGTCCAGAGTGACATGCCCTAACCTGACTTCACAACTATACTGGGGATGGATTTTTGGTGCTGCAGCAAAGGGTATCACTGGAGATGGGCATAGTTTAATTAGAGTAGGTGAACTAAGTAGGTATTTCATGTGCGTATGCACACAGCGATGTAAAATGAGATTATTCTTCTAAAACATTACTTCTCATCATCTTGGTTTTCTTAAAATGGACATAAAGTCTATAAGTACAAACTATACCACAATTTTTACAAGGAAAAAATCAATCTCCTAAAAAAAGGTTAATGGGTAGTAGATGACAGAGGTAAAGGGGGTGAACTGTACAGGAAGGACAGAATTAGGAGTTCAGTGGTAAACTTTATGTAGTTTATGCAGATGTTGATTTACAATGACACACATCTGACATAATGTTATAATGTAGCGCTACTTCAATAAAAATAATGTTCATTACACAATATGCTGAACTACAAAACGATTTGTGATATGTACCTCCATGATGGGAGGGTGGCTGGGGACAGTAATCATTAGCAAGCATACAGGGTGAAATAGCAAAAAGTTTAATTTTGAATAGTCTTTAAAGAACAAAAAGTGCAGTAATCATCACCATGGAATTGGAGATGGCCTCTGCCAGGGGATGGAAAGGTGCATCCAGACAGGTGCACCCAGAAAGGTTTCGAGGAAGGACCTGCCAAACAAATAAACTACAGACTCCAGTCTTGCCAGGGTTTGAAACCTCAAAGATATTTTGGAGGGACAGGCTGTGGTGAATTTTAGTTATGGTGGAGAGAGGAAGGCGCTGACTGTCTCGGTTACCAGTTAATATGGGTTAAGTTAACCATCTGGGTATTTGGAAGGTGGGATATACTGTGATTAAGTCCCTGGAAGATGAATCCCAAGACCATGCTGGGGTGGGGATGTAGTAGATAATGTGTTCCTACCCCAAAGCCAACAAACCCCTCATTTCCTCTCCTTCTGAAACACAGTAAAGTGGAAACACACGGCTTCTCCATGTGCCTTGCAGCTGGGACACAGTGGTGCTGGCTATTCACCCAAAGGCAGGAGTTGTCGGGCAGGACTTTTCTTTCTAAGTTAGCCATAGTCTCATCAGGAACAAACCCTTGCTTTTTTCCTCTTTCCCTTCATTCTGCCCGAGTGTCTGACATGAGGCCTGGAGTCATCACGTGATCATGAGATGTCAAACATGAGAATAAAGGTCTGTGTGCTAAGGACGAAAGAGTGAAATCTAGAGAGAACCCCAATCCTTGACAGCAGCACCAGGTATTATTTACCCCTGGACCATTTACCTCTAGGTCTCTCAGTGCATGGGAAGAACAGATCCCTGTTTAGGCCACCATAACCTAGTTTCTGCTATCTACTGCTAAACTTAATCCTAGCTGATAAAAGCAAATGAATACAGGACTTTAAATTTTCTAGGTGTTTTGGTCATACTACAGGGATTGATGTCAACCTTAGCCTCCTGTTAGCCTCTGGTACTTGAGTGGAGGCAGAGGGTGGCATCACGTCCTGGTTACACATAGGAGGACCTCCCTGAGAGGAGGTAAAGGTAGAGATGACTGAAAAGGAGCCTTTCTAAGGCTAGGCGCTCCTAGCATGTCTCCTGACTGCTCCCGAGGCTGGTGAGATGTTGCTAATGTGGGGGAGTTGGGAGGTGTAAGCCAGGCACGGTGACAGAACTCTTAGGATTGCAGAAAGATGGTGAAACTGGATGGTCCGGGAGACATGAATATCCACATGCCAGATTATCTCAGATCCTTAATCCTAAAACTGACCCCCAACCCCACACGCAATTTCCCCTTCATTGCGGAATTTTAGGATAACCTCCCATGAACCATTAAAAGCGGCAGGTGGCTTTATAAATGGATTTTTCTAAACTATACACACAAACTAGAGAACTAATATAGGGATCTAGTTTTATCTTATTCAAAAAATTATTCTGGCATTGAGTTAAAAATATTCTGAGAAGAAATTTATGATTCTTTAGTGAAGCTCACTTCATTTAATTGTAGGTTTTAAAAAGTTATTTCCATATTCATTAAGGAAAGATGATGAAAGTTTCTTTTATAAAAACATATGCAACAAAGAACAGAACCTATCAAGAACCTATGTTTCTGAAAGTTATTTTTCTAGTTAGATAATGATAAGAAATTACATCAATTTGGCCAGTTATAACTAAGGAAAAGATCCTAGAACATTTTTAGAAGTTAATTATCTTGACTTGTGAGACTGCTGAGCTAAAATACTTTTGCTTTTAGCTTTGATCAGAAAAACCAATTTTGTTGTTTCAATGAACAGTCTATTTCTCATGAAATGGTAGAACATCTATTTGAAAGAAAATACACAGTAACAAACATTCCAGAATTAAGTCAAAGAACCTATACACATTTCCTTAACAATAACAATTAAATCAATCTAGTTATATAAATTGAACTGGAGAACTAGTAAGGTGGTAAAGTGTTCAAAGTGGGGCTACTCTTTCATAGGAAATGATGTTTCTCTCAGTCAACCAGTGAAGAAGGCATTTAATGCCATAGAATCCCAGCCTTACAAAGGCACGTGCCATCTTTGCCAAAAGGGCAACACATTTGAAATACTTGAGTATTGTGTCCCTTGAATTTTTCAGACCTTACTACAACAACAAAAAAAGTATGTGTATAAACTAAAGGATACAGAAAATCAATTTCTCTCTAGATAGGGCAGGATTTATTATCCACTACTTGGACTGGCAAACTTCCTCCGTTTGTTCCCGAAAGATTTCCACTGAAGCACAGACATTACATAATGCGTAAACACCGCAAGGCCTCCTAAAGGTCAAGCTGGCATGTGAAAGGTCATTGTCTGGATGACAGTCAAGCCACCAAGAAGCAAGTCTGTGAGCAGAACATGCAGAAGGTGCAGACATAACACTAAGGATGGTCGTGGGTCTGGCCTTCCTTCCCCTGACAGCCCGTCTCTCCTGTGTAACCTGAAATCTTGCCATTGATTCAAATGGCTGGTTTGAGTAGTGGTTACCTTCACCATTGCATCCACCAGGGTCTTTGCTATGAGTATGTTTTCTCTCAGTTGTAAGAAGCAAGGTTACAGGAATCACCTAGAGGGTAGCTGGGGCCAATTTGGCAAGGCAGTTTCTGTGGTAGTTGTTCCAAGAGGACACAAGGGTGACAGTGGGAATGCAAAGGGACAGGTGGGAAGAAGCTGACTGTGATGATCAAGAAGCCCGGGTTAAGGGTCAGCCTAGTCATTACTCGGAGCCAGACTTAAAACATCCAAATAGAGAAGCAACTGAGAACCCAAAGAAGAAAGAAGGCCGCTAATTCTTGCCTTTTCCCCCTTTGTTCAAGGTTACACAGACTAGGCGGGTAATGGGAGAAAAACAGACCGCTGCAGTACTGGCTACTTGCTTATCAGAAGGCCAGACCTAGAACGAAGAGAACAGATCAGAGAAAGAAGGATGTCAAGTGTGTGAGTTGTTTGTGTGGAACAGAAACGAAGCAATGTGCCTGAGTGTTTGGTCTGGCTTGGAGTCTATTTTTGCGCATGGTATAATTCCACCACCGTGGTGTGGGAAAGGAAGTCCAGGTTCCCAAGCACTGGCTGGAAGCTTCTGGTTGCCTTGGGTCAGGGAGGGGAACGTGTCTGTTTCCCTCCTTGATGCCTGTACTTGGGGTTGCTGGAAGACCCAGAAGGCCAATTACTGCACCTGGGAGGAAGAGTCCTTTCTCTCGGGTGCAGTTCAAGGACCTACTTCTCCAAGAGGGTACTCACAGCTCTGGTGCAGAGACTGGAAAACAACTCACAAAATTACCTGCTTTATTAAAGATATTAAATACTTTATTATGTTATATGTAATATACAGTCACTAAACATAAAAAAATGAAATTTTTTATAGCCTTTGTTCTGATTTGGGTTTAGAAAACATTTCTAAATAGGAATAATAGCTGCCTATCTAATGCCTATCAAAAACAGGAGTACATTCTATTCCATCTTCCTGGAAGTAGGTTTCCTTGGAGGAAGATCATGTCCCTAAAGGATGACTGCTTTTCAACATGCTTTCTACAGGGCAAAAAAGAAAAAATAGCAAAGAAGAAAAAGGGCTATAAAAGGGAATAAAATGACTTCTTGAAGTATACTTGGAATGAGTTTACATGTTTGCCAGAATTTCAATTGATTTCCATTTGTCCTCAAATAATTCCCAAGTATATGGGCCCTTAGACATCGAGTCTAATGCTTGATCTGAACAGTGATTGAGAACCAGAGAGGGAAAGGGACTAATTCGAGCCACAGAGTGAGTTGGGGGGCAAAGCCAAAATGAGAGTGGAGGCTTCCTGATTTGTACTTAGTGCCTCTTTCACTAACCTGGCCATTTCTTTCTTCTCTAGAATATGAGGGATGGATGAGGGACTTACTCAGATATCTTTGAGGGACAACTTCAATTTCAATCTTTGGTGATTTTCTATCTTTGGTGAGAAAGTTGTAATAAAGTATGGAGGGGAAAAACTGACAAACGCAGAAACTTTATTGAACTTTGTGTGATGACTATCTCTTGCTACATATTTGGGAATACCCACCCTGCCGCTTTCCACACTTCTTCCCACCCGCCTATCCCCAAGCAGCAGGTGCACAACTGTAAAGGAATCCACAATGCTCAGGACCTGGGGCACTTCTATGGCAGACTTTACCCCAGAGCTTGGCCTTTCTGACTGACTGGGGCCAAAGGCAACTGTGGCAACCATCGCCTGGACTCCTGTCAAGGCTCCATATATACACGATGCACAGAAGAATTCTTGCTCCATCCTGCTGTTAGAGTGGGGAATCAGAAGGATAGGGTCTAAAATTGCAGCTTGGTGAGGTTTTTCTATTTGTCTTATAAACTCCCCTCTATTTTTATTTTATTTCTAGCTTTGAATTTGTGGGAGAAAAAACTCAACAAATAATTCTTGTTTGGTATTTATCTACTGCTTGAGATTATTATCTAAGCCTTGTGATACACAGATAAGCATACACATCTTAAAATGTGCTTACCAAGGCAGAATGGTTCCAATAAGCTCGGGACCGTAAACTCATTCTCCAGGTCCAGCATTCGAAGGCCCATATTTATCAGCAAGGACTTGATTTTCTCAGGGCAAGGCTTAAGTAACAGGTAGCCAGTAGCATAGAGAACATACCGGAACCAGCACAGGAGTGGAGTGGCGATCCTGCCATTGCGGGACTCCGACATCCGCTCAATTGTTGGAAAGAGCAGAATGGAGCGAATTATCTACAATTAAAAAAAAAACAAACACACTTAGATGAGCACTTTTCTTAAGGGCTGCTATGTTATTGCTCCTTTATAGCATGGACAAGTGACCGGGCTTTAGACTGTGACTAATGATGTGTTGAGAATGAGAAGATCATCTGCTGCCCTCAGTCCACAGCCACTCTAGGTGGGAAACATGAATGTCCTGCGTTGTTGGGGTGAAATTCCAGGGGTCAGGAGAAAATCACTCCTAGGTAACTCCTCAATTGTGACAGCAATTCAGTCCCTTTGAAGGACTGAAGGAATTAATGTACCTTCTTAGTAGTTATGCCAATTGAATGACGGATGATGCTGGAAGAAAGTAGAGTAAGTGACTATTTCTAGCATTTGGTTGTGCTTAACTTCAGCTGAGTCTGTCCCTCTATTTCAGGTGTTGGTGGTTTGCTTTGCCCTTTCTTGTACGCCTTTGCACGCCTCTTTCTGGATACACTGAATGCACTTTTCCCAGAAGGCTCTGAGAGGAAAAGTGGGTTTTTGTGGCCTTGTTTCTTTTATATCTTCTACTATTAACATCCCTTTCCACAGAAGTCTGTTTGATGACATTGCCCAAAGGTTAAAGTTGATCAGGTATCACCTTTAGTTCTGCCTTCATGTCTTGCTAATAGAGAACATGGATTTGAGGGTGAAAACTGTGCAGGACTCTTTTCTTCCTAGTCAGAATAGCTTTCTGTTTTTCCTTGGTCATATCTGTCAGCTAAGTGTTCAGCCATTTCCTGTAGATTTTTCCTTTTCTCTCAACAATAACAGATATGTTAGCTGTTTCTTTTTGCTTACAATAATTTGACCTCCACTGGATCTTTTCTGTCATGTAAGTAAGATGTACTGTTCCCTGAACACCTCTAAAACCTTAATGGTGAATAAAAGACATTCTTGGTGAGCAGGAAGCCACAGACTTTTCATACAATTTTTAAAATGCTCCATATGCAAAAATGCGCATTGCAAAATGCTCTGACTATGGTTTTCAAATAAAGGCAGGAGTTTCAGCCAAAATCCAAAAGGGAGTTTCTGCTGCCTTGGCATCTTCTGAAGTACAAAGCAGAGGACAGGCCTTACTAAAAGCCTATGGGCACCTGTGATGCAGACCATTGTGGGCGCTGGGATGTCGGAAGTGACCCAGAATCCTCCAATCAGAGCCAGCTGCCTGTACTGCAATTAGCTTACACAAAAGTTAAATGTAAAGATTCATGCAAAGCTTAAGGGATCTCTGTGGAGTCTGACGGGACAAGAAAAGTCAGTTAAGGAAATCCTTGCTGGTCTCCACTTTGAGTGTGAGCTCCCACTCTGCACATTATACATAGCAAGAATGTGATCAGCTCGGCATCCCAGGACGCTGACGTTTGGTCATCTCCTTCTCCTCGTGGCTTAGCACGGTGACAGATCACACCTTATGAGGCAGTGACCACTAAGATGCTGAGGATATGGGGTAAGCAGAGTATGCAGCACAAGCCTCAGAACTACAGTCATTTTCAGCTGCAGGAAGCATGAGCAGAGCTGACACTTCCCGCATAGCTACTGTATCTCGCACATTTTGACAGATTTTTAGGTATTTATTTTTGATGCTATTGTAAATGGGATATTAAAAAATTACATTTTCTAAATGGTTGTTACTTATACATACACAATATAGAAATGATATTTTGCACATTGATTTTGTGTCTAGCAAGCTCACTAACACCCTTAATTGTTCTAACAACGTGTCTGTAGATTCTTTTGTTTTCTGAGTACATAATCATCCACAAATAATGGAAGTGTAAATTTTGATTCTTTTCAAATCATTATACCTTTCTTTCTTTTCTTTTTTTTTAATCGAGGTAACACTGGCTTAAATACTGTTTTTGCGTTTTAAAGATAGAGGATCTCCCCCCTTCAGGTGTAGTTACTGTACCACACACACCACCCAAACACCCTAGTCCCCACCATGGTCCACACAGATCTGAGAGATCTGACTATACAACTGAGGCTGGGGTGGGGTAGGAGTGGGGGAGTGGAGGGAAGAGAGAACAATGTAGGGAGGCAGCACAATGGACTGACTATCTTGTTTCCTACTGAGTAAAGGTAACCTTAATATAATGCTGAATGAAAATAATTCTTGCTCCCGAACTCAAAGGAAAACATTTCAATATAATCACCATTAAGCAGGATGTATGCAGGGGTTTTCAAGAGATAGACTCTGCAGATTAAAAAAAATTCCTTCATTCTTAGTTTAATTGCTTTTTAAAAATCATAAATGGATTCTGAATTTTATCAAATACCTTTCATGTTTCTATTGCAGTGATCATGTGTTTTCGTCCTCTCATTTATTAATGGGATAAACTATCACTTGATTTTCTAATGTGAAACTAACTTTCCATTTTCGGATGATCCCACTTTTTCATATGTTGCTATTTTTGGTTTCCTGATATTTTGTGTAGGACTTTTGCATGTGGATGAATGAATCTTTTCTTACATTATTTTTTTCCAGGTTTGGCTATATAGGTTTTGCTAGTTTGAGAAAACTGGGTTGGAGAATGTGGCTTCTTTTCTATTATGTAGGAAATTTTGTAAAATAACAGTTATTTTTCTTTGAATATTTCCTAGAACTCACCAGTGAAGCTTGGAGTTTTATTTTGAGAAAGTTTTGACTACGAATTGAGTCAATTTCTTTAATGGCTCCTGACCATCCAAACTTTCAAGTTCTTCTTGAATCTGTTTTGATGGTATATTTTAGTAGGGATTTGTTCATTTTATGTAAACTTCCCAATTTATTGGCATACATTTATTAATAATATCCTGCTGTGTGCTTCAATCTCTGAGCCACTAGCAGTGACAGAACCTTTCATTCCTAATACTGGCTATTAGTACCTGAAAGAGCAAAACCTTCTCTAACTATGAAGAAACTCTTTTCGGCTCTAGTAATGCTTTCCCTTTAGGGCTTCTTTTGCTTAATATTAACACAGCCACACCAGCTTCTTTGGGTATATTCAGTAATGTATAAACTTTCCCACTCTTGTATTTTCTAATTTTCTGTGCCCATATAGTTAGTGGGTATAGCTGGAAATTTTTCTTGTTCTAATCTAATAGTCATTGTCTTTTAATTAATATGACTAATTCTTTATATTTTCATTTAAATAATTGCTAACATTTTGGACCTAAATCTAAAAATCTTATTTTGTACTTTTCATTTTTTGTACCCCTCCATATATTTTCTCCCTTTTTTACCATCCTTTGGATGAGAAAGATGTAAATACATACTTGATAATAAATATTAAATAAGTGATATAAAAATGAGTAAAATATGTTAGCAAGTCACAATAAATGATTAATAATTGAAAATTATATGACACTTTAAAATAATAAATAATGAGTAAAATATGTATGATGTTAGTAAGCCTTAAGTTGTATGGTGGGGAAGGGGAGAAATAAAGTAATATCAGAAGACTAGCAGTCGCTGGAAGTGGTGCTGAAGCTTTAAATGGATGTTTAGGGTAGACTTCAGTAAAAGGTAACATTTGTGCAAATGAAGTTAGAGAGTAAACTGGGAGAGATCTGCTGTTCTGAGAGAGAGAACAGCAAGTGCAAAGGCCATGAGACAGAACCTAATTTGAGTAAAAGCTTTGAGTAAAAGCAAGGAGAAGAGTATTGCTGGGGCCCAGATGCAGAGCGGAGCAGCTCAGCTGTGATCACAGGCAGCAGGGGGGACGGGACACAGGGTCTAACAGGACTTTGTTACTCAGAGTGAGCTGAGAAGCCTTTGAAGAGTTTGAAAACAGGAGTGATGTGTCTCACTTCCACTTTAATAGGATTACTCTGGTCGTTGTATTGTTAACATTGTCTTGGTAGAGCTAAGTCAATGAAATTAGACAAGATTAAGAAATGAGGCTCTAAATAATGAGGAGTCAAAGGAACTGTTATTTATGGCTTATATTTAACATGTTAAAAAATCACATGTATAAAAATAAGAGCCACTCTCTCACCCTCCCGCACTTCTGACTGTACCCAGTGCTTGTATAAATAAATAAATAAATCTTTAAAAAAAAAAAAAAGAAAAAAAATAAGAGCCACACACAAATGAAAAGGAAAAAGCGCTGTGCTTATCTAAAGACACTTTTAAACTTCAAAGGGACATTTCTTTGTTCTATTGCAAAAGAGATGTTGAAGTCCTCACTAAGTTATAAATTCATTCAATTCCAAATGAAATACTAAAAGGTGACGATTATTTTGAAATTTGGCATATTATGTTAACATTTGGAAAATGAATTCTGCAAGTAATTAAGGAATTCTGAAAAGGAAAAGAAGGGAGATTACCTCTCCTAAATATTACTCATATTTTTAATATTTGTAGCAGGTTTAACTGATACCAGACGAAGATCACATGGTTCAATGGAACAAGAGAGTCTAGAAACAGATTTTAGTTTATATGGGAATTAATTAAATTTATGATAAAGATTTCAGTGGAGAAAAAAATTGTTCAATAAATGCAGATGGGAAAAGGAAAAACTGAATAATCTGGACTGACAAAAGACTGGGGATGAGTATCCAGAACAGGAGCAGCCACATTGTTTATGCAAGGAATATTATGCTGCCATGAAGCACCAGGTGGGTTTGCATGTGCTGACAATGAGGGGTTACAGTGATTCCTTGTTGAAACCAAAGTGTGAAAAAAAGGGGCTTAGCAAGTGTCAAGGGAGACATTCTGACTCTTGGGGTTCATATGTTCTTTGGATTTTTCTTTTTTTATTGTGAAAGCACAAAGTTGTTTTTGCTTATTTTCAGGTTCCTACACTATGTCCTGTATGGGATACCTGGAAAATTAGATGTCACTGAACATTCACTAACTGGAATTTAACTATTCTGGTCTCAATTTTATTTTCTCCTCCAGAGGACTTTTAATCATAATGGTAATTAACCAAACTACTACTATCAAGAAATTGGCTTTAAAAATAATGCCAGGGAATATTGTGAGATAAGTACATTCACTCCTA